AGTTTCCTTTGGAATTAGTCCCTACAACGACTATCCTCTTTTAAGTGACGCTTTAGCTCATCATTATCATGTCATTTAACTATTTTAAATATTTATTATTTATAAGTTAATATCACAAAAAAGTCTCCTAATCCCAACCCTGTGTATTGGATCTGGGCTCACTCTTGTTCACGATGAAGTTATGATTTTTCTCCTAATTTCAGTATTTTCGATTCTGATTGTTCAATTTCTTCAGCAAACTCCCCCTTCTATGTAACAATACTTGTTTGAAATTTTGCACACAAACACTTGTTCTGAGCATAGGAAGAGACATCACATCTTTGCATGTTACCAACCCATGGAATATCACCAGTCAGATTATTGTAACTCACTTTCAATGTGTGCAAAAACTTTAGCACTGTAAGACCCTAAGGTAGCGTCCCATAAATATGATTGTTCCTCAGATCCAAACCCTCCAAGTTCTTAGACAACCCCACTTTCCCCGAATCAAAAGACAAGTTCTTCACCAATCTTATATTCTGTGCTCTTCCCTAACCCAAACAAAATCGACAAGTGACCCTCCAACATGTTATGTGACAAGACCACAAACGCTAGGTTCAACTTCGCCAATGTCGGTGGAATCTTCCCAGTGAGCTTGTTGTGGGAGATCGACATTGATGTGAAAAAAATTGAGAACAAACTGTACGAGTCAGAGATGGTGTCAGAGAGGTAGTAGTTGACGATTTCTTTTCACTCTCCATCATTTGTTTCAGGTGACACCGAAAACAATTATGATCAATGTAATTTCTATGTATATACGAGAAAGAATTGAGAATTGAGGGTTCATGGGTAACCGTTTTACCAACACTAGATTGAGAAAAAATAGTACTACACAAATATGGTAGCCCGTAGCTGCAGATTCACAGAGAAGGAGAACTACTTGTAAATGTGCAGCACACAAGTTCACTTTTTCAAACTTAAATTCAATCTGAAGGGTTGTTGACTTTAATTGTGCAAGCCCTCCATCACCAAACTAGAAAGAAGCTTCCTTTGTTACAAATTTCAAACAAGTATTGTTACAAAGTAGGAGTTTGTTGACAAAATTGAACAATCAAAATCGAAAATCTCCAAATGAGAGGAAAAACCCTATACTTGATGCGAACAAGAACAAGCCCAAATCCTATTCATAGGGTTGAGATTGGGGACTTATTTGCAGCATTTTTTAAGGACTTTTTTGCAATATTAACTTTATAATAAAATATTTAAAATGATTAAACGACCTAGCAATGATGAGTTAGTTTCATTATCTAGTTGATCACTTAACAGAAGACAATAGATGATAGGGACTAATTCTAAACATTTTGAAAATGCCAGGAACTAAATTCTAACAAATTTTTTTTAAAGACTAATTCCAAAATATGCTACTTTTATAGGGACAATAAACATAATTAAACCTATCTTTAATAAAAAAAAAATTCAAGTTACACGTGCAATCATCAATAAAGGATACAAACCATTTAGCAATAGATGCAGGTCCCCAAACATAAAAAATGGATAAAATCAAAAGGTGCATTACTTTTTAAAAACTATCTGGCTGACAAACATCACATGAAAAGTCTTAACTGATTATTTTGAAAACAAAGAAAGAAACACACTCTTAAGCAAATTAAAAGATGGATCACCTAGACGCCTATGTTGAAGCCAAATTTGAGAAGAGTCATACTTAGAAGAAAACTAATTACAAAATTATCTTTGGCTTTGATTTTTATTGACGGAACATAATATAACTCTCCCTATTTCTTAGCAACTCCAATCATCCTCCCTGAAGGTAAGATCAAGAAAGTCACAATGGAATGAAAAAAATGTTACTGCACAATTTAGATTATGGGTGAATTTATGAATGGAAATAAGATTAGTGGAGAGCATAGGAACATGAAGAACATTTTTTAACGAAAGAAAGGTAATGAGTTGAATATTACCACAACCAAGAATGAGAGTTTGTGAACCATTAGCAATTGTAATGTGATGTGTACCAGATAAAGTATAATAGGAAGTAATAGAAGAAACATTAGGAGTTATGTGATCAAAAGCACCAATGTTAATTATTCAAATATTCCCATGTACAGAACATGAAGATAAACTATAATTCTTACCAGTCATGGCAAGAAAGGCCCATGGGTCATCCATGGTTAGAAAAACTTGCATTTTAATAACGAATGTATAAAGGTTAAAGAAACAATCACCCAAACAGCTACAGATTATGCAATGAAGTATCAAAATTGATAGAGGAGGTCTCAACGAACAAAACGTTTGTGACAAGGCAAACAATGGCCAAGAAGGCAATGTGTGGTTTTCACACACCGGTGAGGGCTTCTGTGGTGTGGCAGCACATGGAGGCTTTGTTGGATACAAAATTTTGGAATTTGGCCAGTCTTGGCCGTGTGCTCCAGATGGTGTGGTTGCCGGAGTTGATTAGTTGTCCAGCAATAGTATCAGTGATGACGACAGTGGCAGCAAGGGATGTCAACGACTAAGACAAAGGAAAGAAAATGTGTAAGCACAATGAAGGTGCAAACATATGCCATAATGAAGACAGTTGCTACGGTTTGGGTGCCGCAATGAAGGCAGCTAGGGTTTGGATTTGCAGAAGTAAAGACCTAGGATCAGATACCAACTTGAAATTTTCAATTGCATTGTGTCAATATACATTATAATTTACATGTATATATAAGTCTAATCCTAATATTTACATGAGATAATATCATAGATTATCTTCTAATAATCTTAGAGATAATAGCAATAAACAAGTACAATAAATCATAATAATTAGGCGATATTCTCAACAATGACTATAAAAAGCACCTGATTCAGTGCATGAGGCTCCCATTATCTAGCAGTTTGGAAAGGGTCAGATATATAGTCATAACATCCCGTCCCACAAACAATCCAGTCAATTTCTATGACAAGGACCTATAAATGTGGGTCTGTATAAGTAGGGGCAGAGCATTAATGAAAGTATGAACATTGGAATAGGCAGCACAGCACTCTTATTGTGTGATGTTATTCTAAAATTGTCAATGGCTAGACTACATAATGGCTGCAACATAAATGCTTGCAAATTATTTTCAAGTCAATAAACTATCTCACAGACATAGCTAGTTTGACAGAGGGAAAAAAACTGAATTTCTGAAACATGCTGTTCAGGGTACAGTGTTTGTTATGAGCAGAATATAATATAAACAAAGAAGCATCCAACAATATAAGCAAGGATATAAAACAGAAATGCCGAAGTCATAAGTAGTGGTTGCATCAACGAAATTATGCAACTTACCACATCGTTTGGCATCAAAATGAAACCAAATCATTGTTTGGTTTGGTATCAAACAAGTGAAAGGAAAGGAGAATTGACCTGGCAAACAACAGCTTCTGCAGTTTGGCACCAGTTTTCAGCATCAAAACATAAATGGGAAGGCCAGATGGAAGTGAGCTGTTCCTATATATATATAGATATATATCCACCAAATGTAATCTATTCTCCAAAGTTGCAGATTTGGACAAATTTCAATGAGAAAAAAAGCCAAACTTTCATAAATAACTACTGTACAACTGTTTAGTTGCAATTTGAAATAAATGAGTAAATGAACAACACCTTGCCTCCCCAAACCAAACCAGATAGTTAACTTATCTAGTTTTAAAACAAAGAAACACCTCCCCTCACAGAAATTTTAAATAACACCCTGTTTTCTCTTATCATTTCATCATACAGAAAAAACTTGCCAAGTAATCATAATGAATGCAAATTTCAAACCCTTCTGCATAGAATTGGAATTATTAAATACCGCTCCTCATTTTAATTTTATGCTATACATACTCCTAATTTTATTTTGATATAGAATAAGCTTACCAATTTACAATATATTCAGTCAAATCTTGTAAAGCATTTTTTTTTTAAATATCAAAGACTTAAGTTTTAAACCACTATATAACAACAAAGGTTACACAGATACATTCAATCCAATGGTAATATTTGTCAATAACTAGGTGAAATATAAAAAAAATGATTCACTTTTTCATCCATTGTCATTGTAAAACATTTTATACTTCCACTCAATCATATGTTGCCACATGTTAAAAAAGCATGACTAAAACAAAAACTATTTGCAAGATGAAACTCTTCTAACAATGAGCAAAAATGATTAAGTGATAGTGTAAAGATCAAAACTAAGCATCCCTCCTCCCCTTAAATTATGTTACCCTCTCCTTTAATATTAAAAAATAACACTTTTCTCCCCTAAGAAAAAAAACATGTAACACATTAATCCATTTTAATATAAATAAACAGATAGAAACCTGGTATCTTTATTAGGAAGAATGGGGAAGAACTTCTCAATTTTGAAAATAGTACATACACTGTAGACCTTCGACAGTCTAAACCTCCCAATGCCAAAAAGCCCTAATTTCCTCTCAAATAACAAAATGCCTCCTTTTCTCTCTTGTTTCTATTCTTCTTATACCTGTAATAACCTTTATTGATTGTAACTACTGATTATAACTAACTAATTAACAGATGTATCAAACTAAATGAGTATCTCTATAAATACTCCCTCCCCCCTCCCAAAGTTTCACCTTATCCTCAAAGTGAAGGGTGATGCTCGGTTTTATGTTGGTATTTTGGCCATGAAACAGAGCATTAGAGCTTTTGCAATGGATCCCACAGGCTGAAAAGAAACTTCCCCACGGATCCCACTGTTTATGGTCCAAAGCTAGAGCTAAACCATATGTGAGAACTTCTTCATCCTCCTGTAAATCCTACATGGTCAAATGAGACATTCTCATTTTGCTGGGCCTGGTCCATTATGTTAAAAAACTTATCTGATCCCAATCTTGCCCTTGCTCTCATCCTTTCACAACTGCCTTTCTGTTCTACAGTTTCTGGATGATGCTCATTTTTGCCGCTGTCTCAGCCACTGTACAAGGCACAAAATTCAACAGTTCTTGCATTTAGATGGTGGAATCTTGCTCATGATTGCTGACCAATCCTTCTCCATGGAAGGGATCGAGTTTGGCAGTTTCAGCAGTGGAAGTGGTTTGGCTAGTGTACTCATAACTACACCCTTCTTGGTTGTCATGTCTCCCTTCCATCTCTGCCCTATCCTTTTGCTTCCCACAAGGAGAGATTCCCCTTCTACTTTCTCCTCTCCTTTGTTACGCAAAAGGTGGTTGTACAAGTCAAGTTCAGCACTCTGTTTTTGTGATGTTCCTTCTCCACCATATCTATGAATGAAAGCTTGATATGAATAGATTAAGACACATCAATGATATTCAGAACATGGATGCACACTGATTCTGCTTTAACAAGCTTAGGCCAAGACCAAAGCCATCACCAAATTGATGTCGTCCAAAGAATGGCACTCCCTAGTCCCTAGTAGGTAGTAATTACAAGCTGTCAAGATTAAATAGGGCATTTTGTTCTTTTAACAGTTAATTTATAGAGAAGTGAGGTTTGTAGGCTTTGAAAATTTGGGGGATAATTATGTTGGTTTATCTTTACGGGGGGAGGTGTAAGTAATTTAATTCATTTCCATAAACTTTTATACATTCTTAAATAATACTTCCTATTCTGTTTCCTTTCTTTTTAACAAGGCCAAACACAGAATTGAATGTACTGTACTCATCAATTCTCTTCTATTCTTTTTCTTCTTCAATGGTCTTTTCCATTCTTTTATGTTATTTGTACTCAACAAAACAAAGGGAAATAGAGTAAGGGGACATATTGATCATGATAACATGGTGTGAAAGCTTACAAATACAAAATAGAATAATCAAATTAAACTAGCTTCTCAACAACCAAATCTATCTACTCATTTTTCTAACTTCTGTTGTCTAATGATAAATTTGAAATTTCACATTATAATAGACAATTGTATTAAATTAGTCACTCACAAATATAAAGTAGCCCTTTATATAAATCATAAATCAGCAAGCAATTTAAATGAACATACACTGAGATCATTGTCAATTTTCCTTTTTAAGAACACATAACTTCAGTGCTACGTAAAATTCCGTGCAGCATAAGCTTGTTGTGAACCCTCAAGAAAATAAATCTCAAATACTGCTTCATCCTGACATCCCATGCTATTTTACCTGAATGCATTACTTATCTTATGTATTTCTATCCTTAATAATGCCAAACTAGGAATCATCAGGAAGGATGTCAGTTATAGGAAACAAGGTACAGAGAATGTAACTGCAGCAAATAACTGATAAAAATGAATTTATTAATGAAGAAAGGAAGTGAACTTTGAATAGCAAGGTACAATACAATGCTGGGAAAATTGTTGTGCATTCAAAGACTACCTAGTATAGAGGAGGTCTAACTTCTATTTCCACTCATTGTACAAATTGTGATGGGAAATTAAAAAGTGTATCACTAGGCTTACAAAAGATAATCACAACTATCATGCAAAGAATAAGTACAGTGGCATTAACACTTTCCTTTTCCCCACAAAAAGATTAAGAAAAATGAATAAAAAAATGGTGTATAATGTCAAAAAATTGTTTGAAATATCTTGACAGAGGTTTGAACTTCATCTGTATACCTCTAGCCTTGGGAGTTGGGAGCATAATGTCATAGATCTTTGAATCTTAAGTGATAACACACTCTTCCAAGTATTACCTAGTCACAGGATATAACGTGTGAAAAAATGTAAAGTCCCCCCATCTCAATCATAGGAAAACCCATTGACATCTTTACCCTGTAACAAATTAGTAAATATATCAAGGCTAGAGGAATATAGTAGTTCCATAAAGCATTATGTATCTAAGAATAAAGATACCTTACCGCGAAAGTGAGAAAATGTACATGATTACGCCTGTGGAATTTACACCTCAAAAGGCAAAACCCATTTAAATGTAGGGCCGTCTTTTACTCATTAGTCACGTAGGAATTCTAAAATGAGAATAACTGAGTCATGTTATTCCTTCGTCTTTACACCATAAGTTCATTCACCACCTCCAATAACATTTTCGAGAAGCTGAACTGCATGCAATTTATAGTCTTTGTTAAGATGCTTCAAAAGTGCAGTGTGTGTGTATGAATCAGGCTGAATTTCTCTATCTAGCATATCCTTATACAACCTCAAAGCCTCCTGCCAATGGCCTAAGTTGCAGTTCTCATTAATTAAAATAGTGTAAGTATACTTATTTGCAGAAATACCCTTCACTTGCATTTCCACCAAAAACTTGTATGCCTGATCCATCTTTCTCACTTTGCAAAGTCCGTTGATTAAAGCATTGTAGGTTATCACATTTGGATAAACGCCCTTCTCTTGCATCTCAAAAAAGTACATTATAGCAAGTTCCAGTCTTCCCCTAATTGCATATGAATGAATCAAAACAGTGTAAGTGACAACTGAAGGAAATATCCCTCTGCTCAACATCTCATAGAACACAGCTCTAGCCTTCCTAAGATGCCCGACCATCAAGTGAGCATGGATGACGCTGGTATATGTTATATGATCTGGAACAAGTCCATCATGGAGCATTTTCTGCACAAGACCACTTGCTTCTTTCAAATTGCCCAATTTATAAAGCCCATCGACGAAGACATTATATGTGATTAAATCAGGAGGAAAGCCTTTGGCTAGCATTTCTTCCTGCATGCCAAAAGCCTTATATGGGTCACCAAGCTTCAGCTCACCTACTATTCGAGTTATGTAAGCAAAACGATCAGGCTGCAGTCCCCTATGCAGCATCTCATCAAATAGTTCCTTAGCCATTGGCAAGTTCCCCATCATGCTAAATCCTCTAACAAGAATTGTAAAAGTAAAAACATCAGGATAAGGTCCATATTTGATCATTTCATCTTTTAACCGCCTGGCAACATCCAAGTTCCCCAACCTGCAAAGGCCATCAATCAGTGTATTATAGGTAACAACACTGGGCACAAGACTTCTGTATCTTAACTCAACGAATAAAAGAAAAGCCTCCCCTAAGTTTCCCAACCTACTGTATCCATAAATTAGAGTATTATAAGAAACCAAATCAGGAATCATATTCTTATTTGCCATAACACCTAACAGCTGCCTAGCATCACTCACTCTTCCCCACTTACAAAGACCATACATAATCGTATTGTAGGTCACCACCGTAGGCGAAGCTCCTTTACTCAACATCTCCTCCTCAAGACTCCAAGCTTCCTGAAACAGCCCTTTTTCACAATACCCACGAATTAACGGGTCATAAGTGTAAGCCGAAACCTTGAGTCCCAATCTCAACATCTCCACAATCAGTTCCTTAGCCTGCTCCAACTCCCCCTGATCAGACAAGCCATTAACCAAAACATTATAGGTGACATCATCAGGAGAACACCCAGTGTTTTGCATGTGAAACAAAAGCTCCAAAGCTTGCTGAACCTCCCCTTCCTTGCAAAACGAATCCAACATTGTATTATAAGTAACAGTTGTAGGCCTTATCCCACACTCCACCATCACATTATAAACCTCCCTAGCTTTGTTCACCATGTTCCTATCCCTAAGCAACCTAAGAACCCTATTGCAATTCTTCACATCAGGCAACAAACCCTTATGAACCATCTTATAAAAAACCAACAAGCTATTTTCCAAAATGGAATTTTTCGCATAAATCCAAAGCAGCAAATCGAGAAGCTTAACGGAAACCTCAGAAGAAACGCTCCTGTTAACCAAAACATCCACAACGCCGTCCATTCTAACGGCGACCACCTTCTCCATCACCCTATACGCAGACCGCATGAAACCGCTCTGCGCGAGAATCTCAAGAATAACAACATAAGCCAATTCAGATCCCTTGAACCCGGTTCGGCCCTCGGCCCATCGAAAGAACCGGAGGGCCAGGACGGGTCGGTCTCGAACCGTGTTAAGAAGCCGAACCAGAAACTCCGGTTCGGAAACCGCAGCACAAAAGTGATCGGAAGGCTTGTTGTTGTTCTTATTATTAGTAATAGTATTGTCTAGAACGGCGTCGTAAATGGGCATGGAGGCGTAAGAGCTGAAGAGGAAACGCGCTCTGAGGGTTAAGGGTCTGAAAGAGAGGATCATTGAATAGTGAATTAAGGAAGGAAGGAGGCTACGGTGTTAGTGGCGATGCCATGAACAGCCACTGCGCTCAATCGAATCCAATGGCGGCTCCCTCCTTTTCAACCCCAACCAGTTGCTGGAACTGGACTGCGAGGTAGCTACGTCATTCTTTTTCTATTTCCTTTTTTTTTTTCAGTTTATAAACACTTTTCACTTTATTCTAATATGTTGTTGAGTAAAATATTTTTTAACTAATAATCTCTATGTATAATTTATAAATATAAATTAAAATATTTATCTTCAAAAATTTAAAATATTCATATATTATATTTTCAAGAGTTTTGCTTATATCAGTTTTTAAAATTAAAATTAAGCATTTAAAAATAGTTATTTTATTTAAAAATATACTTATTACATAAAATATATAAAAGTATAGTATTTTTTATAATATTTATTATTATTTTAAAACTTAATTTTAAGATTTATGATTAATATTTTATTTTTAATTAATTATTTAAAAAGTTCAATTTAATTCATTAATACACACGCATTGTACCAAAGGTAATTTTAAAAAATTTTAAGATAATATGTAACATAAATTTTCATGTATTAAAAATTTACTAAATAATTTTTTAATTAATTTATATCTACAAATATATTTTTATTTATAAATTTTAATTTATATTATATATAAAATATAATATAAGTATACTCCAACTTTTTTTATGTTATTTTTATTTTTTATTTAATAATAACAAACATTATTTGAATTTATTTTTAAGTCATCGTTTATTATACTTATAAATTTTTACCTTTTTATTAAATATTTATTAATTTTTTATTTTTATGATGTGATATAAAGTTGTTTACATAAACTTTGTATCTGTTAATTAAATAGAGACACTATTTTACTTGTTTTAAGTATTTTAAGTACATTATCATCATGTAGAATCTTACAAAAAAATTATCATCTAACAAGAGCTTAAATTTATTGAAATAGACACAATATGTGTATGTATACATATGTAAAGATCGTGAGAAAATTTTAACCAAGCAACATAAGTTTTATATTATTAGTAGAGTAATTAAAAATGATAAAGACATTCATTAAATAATAAAATATTTATAAACACATCAAAGTGGAGCAAAACAATTCTCAAAATTAACACCAAAGTACATGACCATATCTCAGGAACAATTCCAACTAAAGCATGAAAAAAACAAAGATTACATAAATTCTTCCAAAGGAATAGAGTCTTCGGTCGAATTCGACTTCAGAGTGTACATAGAGGCAATCATGCCCCATGTCCTAAGACAAGGAGTAGGAGATAACTCATCATCACAATCCCTCCAACCAATGGAAAGTGGAGGTAATCAGGATAGAAACTAAGGTGGTGATGATGATAAGTGACACACAGAAGGTCTCGCCTCATTAAAGGGTGGCATAGGAATAAGAGAAGAAGGTATAGGAAAAGGGCAAATAGAAAAGAGAGCACCAAAAGTACCAAAGGGTAAGTCCAAAACAAAAAATATAATTCATCAAACAACCATTGCATTCAAATATAATAATTAAGGGAATTAACATTTAACCAAACATTAACATTACATCTAATCTTATACAACACAACGTGCAATATTTATGATGTATGATGTAACTTATTGTAGATTTATTCTTCATTAGGTTAAGTGATGCAATGTGCATTCCTTGTGTCAATACTTCTACTAGGTCATAATCATCATCTCCATCAAAGACGACTAGAGGACTCAATTCTCTTTTAGGAATGGATCTACCATGACCTTGGTAATGGGTATCTACATCAAAATTAGTGAGAGTTTATCAGTGACGAGATCCAGCTACAATGAGCTACTCTACCATATTGGATCATCTCCCCCCTCCTTTATCTACCTCCAAGGTTCTCGCAGAATCTGAACACAAGTATCCCACAATTGTGCAACATTGTTGCCTTGATAACTCCCTCTCTCACATGCTTATGATGCATTGTAAACAATCACTCATCTAAATCTCATGGTTATTATCATATTATTATTTGTCATACGTTTAACCTTCATCAATCATCATCACATTCAATGAAGTCTTAATTCTTAACTCCTAGGTTGGTCACCTAGAGTACATACGTTCAAGATTGTCTTAAGAACCCCATTTACCACTCTCCTATTCCTCTTTGGTGCCTAGGTCTTCATCTTAGGTTTGCTCCTTCTTGTAGCCTTGTCTTGACTCAATGGTTGACATCTCCCCCTTGATCATCCTCTTCATTTTCAAGAGGATGAAAGGTTTGAAGAGAGAAGGAAGGGAGGGAAATGGGGATTAAAACTCCTCCCTTATTTGAATGTTTAATAGGAGGAGGGGGAGGTAATAAAATAAATGACATTATTACCCTTTATATTATTTATTTATTTTAAAAATATAAATATTAAATATTTTTCTTCTAAAAATTAATATATTTTGAAACCATCACTCTAAAAATATATTTTTAAACATTATATTTTTTTATAAATTTTTTAAAAAATATCACTATAAAAATTAATATATTTTGATAAAAATAATTTATTGTAATTTTTTTCTTTAAAATAAAATAATATGAGACTATTTAAAATACAATAGAAGCATTTAATTTGATATAATATAATTAATATTAATAGATGGCGAGAGAGTAGAGGCTATTCCATAATTGAACAAATAAGGTTGGAGACTCCGTCCAAATAGGAAAAATGCCATTAGGGGATGTATTTGGAGCTTTGTTACTTTCACCAATGCCTCATCTAATTAACATCATACATTGTAATAAATATGCATCCATAGCACAGACCTAAACTGCATTCTCAAACACTAAAGTTCATCAATGGCAAACCCTGCTTTCTCCAACACCATTTTCTATTCCACTTTTCCTACATCTCACTATTCCTCAATTCTATTTACTGCAAAACAAATGACAACATCATGTCTTCTTATATTGATTTGGTTGAGAAAAAAAAATAACCTGTAAAATGCAAAACACAAAGAGTAAGAAGAACAGAGAACACCAAGAGCAAAGAGAGAGCGGAGCGAGAGCCAGAGAGCATAGAGCACAAAGCGTGGGGAGAACAGAGAGTGCCAAGAGCACCAAGAGCAGCGAGAGATAGAGAATGAAGCTTATTGAGGGAGCAAGAGATAAAGTGAAAGAGATAACCCTAAACGTGAGAAGAAAGAAATAATCGAGGGTAAATTAGTCAATTAAATTTTTTTTAAAAAAACTCCAAAATGAGGGAACTTGTAAAATTAAGATTAAGAGAGTTTTGGGAGGTTTAGAAAACTCCCTTAAACTTTTCCCTCCAAAATAATTAACTCCCAAACATAAATTAAACCCCTCTAATCCTTCCCTTTCCTTTCTTTCTCCTCTCAAATTTAACTCCTAAACAAACCCTAACAGAAATAGACAAATTTGGCTTCCTAATCAAATATTGATAGAATCTGTTACATATCTTAAAATATGATTGTACAAGTTATAATCATGTTTTTATCCTTATCAATTTTCTTTAATCAAATCTTCTACCCTTGTAGAGACCAAGATGTCCTTAGATAGGTGTCTTATTTATCATTTTGACATTGGCAATACATTAAAATAAAAGAATTTATAAATACTGTAGCTTTAAAGAATAAGCTTAGCTATGATTAGATTTATGAGAAGATATGTCATTAAACACTTAGGAAGTGTCTTCATTAGCATGCCACCTTTGTAGAGCTTGAGGAAGACTTGTTTGAAGTTCAGTGTCATGGCTATCTTCTTCTTCATGATGGTAAGTTTCCATTATTCTACTGGTGAAACCAAAACATTCACTTCATAACCCATATTTGCCCTTTGATGTGGTTTACTAATGGTGTAATAGCATGGATGGGAAGTAAAAAGAGGAAGAAAAAAAAAGGAGGAATATTTTGGATGAGAAGTAAGATGAGAAAGAAAAAGAGGAAGAAGAAAAAAAAAAAACAAATAAAACATTCTTATAAATTGTATTTTGGGTGAAGTTCACAAGAAAGAAAAAGATAAATAATAACCCTTTAATAAAATTAATGTTTTTTTTTTAATAAAAAATGACTTATTGAAACACTTTTAAGTTAAAGGAAGAAAACTAAACTTGAACAAAACAAAGAGTTAAAAGACCAATCTTCTAATTTAGCCATTTTTATACTAAACATGTTATGAAATATTTATTTCAAAATAATGAACAACGCACAAAAATTGGTTTCTTATTACGTTGACATATATATGGTTAATGTATTAAGCAAAATATTTTGTTTTTAAATCATTCAATAAAGATTAGTTTGTAAGTTTTTTGGACTTGGTGTAGTCTTTGATCTTAGAAAAAAATAATTATAATTTTTTTGTTGTGTTATAATTAATAAGACATAAAATTAATATTGGTTAATTTAAAAGTTTTTTAAATTTGTTAAATTTTAGTGTTATGATTAAATAGTATCTTTGGAATAACAATTTAATATTTAAATAATTAATTATTTTTAAAAATAGATTTGAAAGTAATAGAGTGATTTTAATAATAGTACACATGAAAGAATATTTATTTATGACTAAAAAAATTGTATAAAACAAGATGATTAATAAACGGTTTAATTACTCTTGATTAATTAAAAGGTTAATGTGAGATATATACTTTTATATCATTGATAGAAAGACTTTATCTTAAAAAATTTAAAAACATATTTTTTATATAAAAAAACAAATAGTAAACTATTCTTACCTAATCTGAATATAAGATATATTCAAAATATATTATATTATAATAATCAAATCCACGGGTAGAAATTAGTATTGATGGACTTATTGTAATTTTTACAAATATATATATATATATATATATATATATATATATATATATATATATTTGAAATTTTTTAAGCATGGAATATAAGTACATGATTTTAAACTTTCATAAATTATTGATAATAACATTTAAAAAAAATTGGCATAGACAAATAAAAAATTATTATCATTAGTTGAGGGGAAAAACAATATAAAGAAAGAAATAACATAGAGGGTCCTTTTAAGATTTAACTTATATTAACTGTCTTTTATTATTTTAATTTTTAAAAAATGTGACTAATTTTTATCTCAAAAGATATAGTAATTAAGTAATACATATCAATA